TTAGTGCAAAACTGTGATGACAATTTAAAAGAATGCAATGTTTTTGCTTAACTTTTTCTGTCTGTAATTTGAATGGAGAGAAATTTCAGAACATTAAATATTAATTTGCCCATAAAAACACATTTCAAATATTTGGACCTACTAATTTCTAAATTATTGTTTTACAAAATAACGAAGTTTTCTCTCAAGTCTCAAGTTTTCCCATCTTGTTTCACAAGGAAAAATACGTAATTCCAGAATGATAATGATTCCAACATTGTAAAGAGAAAATGCTTTGAATAACAAACCAATTTTTATTTTAACTTGCAATTGATTTTTGGAGCCGCCACTGCTCGTAATTTTTAAGCGAAAATTTGCTTCCCTCTCATATAAAACAATCACTTCAATCTCCCGGAAACTATTTGTACGTAAATTGCCTCGGCTGCTGTTTATTTGAAAATAACCGGCAAAAATGACTGCAAAGCTTTTCATCGCTATCTTTGTGGGTCTTCTCACAATTGCCAGTCTTCAATTAAGCACAGCGGTAAGTATAACAATAAATAAGTATCTACAATTAACTCGGTAAATAAATATGAAATCTGAATAAATTGAAATTTAACAACACACATTAATCTCTCAATTCTCTATTTAATAAAACTTACACACTCCTAATTCAATAGCAACATTTTAGGCCCCACGTCCTTCAAAGACAGAACTTTTTGAAAAAAACATCGCTGACTACCTCAGACACAATAAGGAAGCGCTTAAAGAATTGAAACAACTAGGATTTGGTAAGAGGGCTAAAATTATTTTTAAGTCGCAAAAACAGCACAAATTGGCGCTTTATTTTTAGATGACCATGCATCTCTTGGTAGAGTCAAACGCCAGTCGACAGTCGAAATAGACACAAATGATGCGGAAATCGAAGAAGAGAAGCCCGGTTTCTTTGACCGAGCAGCCAAGTTTGTGGTGGAACTGTTGCAGCGATTTCTCAGATGGGTTAATACGGAAAATAGTTAAAGAAGGCGTTTCTGCTGCTCTGGCCGCTGCAGCCGGATATATTTTTGGATAAACACACATTTTTTCGGATAGTTTAGATAGCTTGTTACCTAATAGCCTTAAAGGACATTGTATAATTTTTCGAAAAGACAAGAAATATTGTAACTTCTGTGTTGAATATATTTTTATAGCAGTTTTAGGGCTATTTTTTCAAACCGAAATGTAACGGTTTGTAAATCAATAAAACTAAACTATTTGAAAAATACATGCAAATTTCAATGCTAAGTTATTCAACTAAATAAATTTAGAAGTTGTGTCCATTGTTTGTACTGAAGCTACTAATGCTAGCTACTAATAACACTAATTTATTAGAGCAACTTAAGTATCCACTCACACCGGAAACTGGCTCACTAATTTAAAATGCGTAAACTGATGGCCAATTATATTCCTATTGATTTGCCTCGAAAATTATAAGTTGCTTGTTATTACAGGCTATTAAATTATCTTAAACAAACTACAGTACCTATTTGGTACATGAATGTTTGCTTTACACGAAAAACGCAGTTCGAGTCGCCTCATCATGTTGAAAAAGGGAATCCGATCGATCTTCATATTTAGTGTGTTAATTCATAATTGTTTTAGGGTAGGTTCGTTATGTTTTCCTAGATCCAAATAATCTGAGATAAATTTTAAACAGTATGTGGACTCAGCATGTGAAAGATCGCTATCTATGATGGCAGCTGAAGACATATGCTGGAGTAACAAGGTGAAAATCGTTGATAGAATTCAATACACAACTAAAAGTGTCCTGAATTTTGCTAAAGAGAAACTGGGACTAGTGAAGGATGAACCATTTCATCCTCAACAAGTGAGTACCTATTTGACCATTCCCGACCGTAATTCAACATTGTATTTGTTTCAGTGCGATTACTACGAATGCATTTTTGCAGAGCTGAAGATGGTAAGTTATATGATTTCTGAATTACCATGAGCAGTCTTTAATATAATAAATCTTGTTCATTGCAGCTTGACCCAAACGGATATCCGAATTATAATAAAATTGTTGAATGGATAGACAACAATATAATTTATAATTACGCCAAGACCCAATATGATACCTTAAAAGAGTGCAATGCCGCTTTATCTCAAAGCGTAGGTTAGTAGCTTTATAAGAATGTAAAATATTGCTTCCTAAACATATGTTTCTTGCTACGGAATAATCAAGTGCAAATTTATACACTTTATTCCATAAAATAATTGAACAAAATCACTTATTATTTTGCAGAGCTTTGTACTTTTCGAATTTTCAGAATCAGACACGTACTTTTCTGGGGACCTAATACCAATCAATGGTAAGAATTAGTAATAAACTGGACACATAATTGGGAATTACGTTTTTCAGAAGGACCACAATCATTGCAAAACAACTGCGAGGTAGTACGAGAATTCATGAAGTGTTTGGCATTAAATGCTACAGAGGTTAGTAGCAAAATTATACGGTAAAAGGTGACAATTTGGTAAAAAAATCGTCTATAAGTGCAAATCGGGGAAATTTTAAAAACAACCATTAAAATATTAACTAGATTGATTCATCAGCAAAAACTTTCCGAGTAATGTTATTAAAATTCCTATTTATTTAAATATGCACAACAGTACATTTTTTGGAAATACTAATAGCCGTAGAATGATTAGAGCAATTGAAAACAAAATACTTTTGAGAAAGACAGTCTTACTTCAGTTGAAAACGCTTATCACCAGTCTCCTTTTGAACACACAGGGCAATTTAATTTACACATAAACCTGTGTTTTTTCAGTGCATCATATTTGTATATCCATGAAGAACAAATGAACACAACAGTAGCAGTATTAGTCTGGCCGATCAGAATTATTTTACGATTCAATACCAAGGCTACTAGGATGGGAAGGTAGATATTAAATGTAAAACATCATTAATATACCTTAAAATATATTACTTAAAAACCGACACTCCTTATTCCAAAAATTACATTTGAACTCCAATAGCACTTAGATACTACTGATTTGATGGTCCAGATGATGGTAAGGTCCAGACAAATGAGAGAAAAACAGTAGTGCCAGCATTTAGGTAACCAATTACTGCAAGAACAAACAGTAGTAAATGTCTATAATTTTTAAAATTGCTCTGTTAGTTTTAAAAGCATCTAAACGCACTTGCCAAACAAAATGTTAATTTCAATGAAAATAAAGAGCCAAACAAACATAGTTTCTAAACAGGTAATTGTTAATGTTAATACAAGACTTTGAACGTCACGAAAGACATACGAATAATTAGTATAAAACACATGATTATTTAAAAGTCTCGATATCAATACCTTATGAGTACTCTATTTTCCTCCCTAAAAACACAATGTGTGATCAAAGTCCGATTTGCGGCTGAGTTTTGGAAATGTAATTTCTAACTGTAATGACTTACCTTCTTGGCAGCAGCTCCGACCTTGGTCTTCTTTGTGCCTCGCACTTTCTTCATCCTGTTCTTCTTTTCCTTACGCTGTTTTCGGGTCTGTTTGACTTTTTCATAAAGCCCGTGCCTTTGTAACCTGTGCTTGGGTTCAAATTTCTTGGCAAAGTCTAATGTATCATAAATCAGACCAAACCCTGTGGATTTACCGCCTCCAAAGTTGGTGCGGAATCCAAAAACAAAGATAACATCAGGAGTCACCTAGGAAATAAGGAAAACCAAATTCAAGTTTGAAAGTGACCATCAACTGCAAATAAGCGGTTATTAACAAGCATTAACCACACTTTACATAGTGTCCTGAGGGCATGAGCACATGTACTTAGATGACTTAAGGCAATAAACACGTTCCAGAGCAGTAGTAACTGCAAATTTCAGCTTTGGTTAACTTAGTTTTCAGACATTTGGTACTCACCTTGTACATTTTGGCTAGTTTTTCTCTAATATCCGTTTTTTTAACGGAGGGCTGACCTGGATGTAAAACATCCACAACCATTTGCTTTCGACACAACAACCTGTTGGTCATGAATTTTCTGGTACGAATTGTAGCGGTTCCTTCCGTCTGAAAGTACAAAAGTGAGGTTAAAGTTCATAAACTAAAAACTTACAAAATTGAAGTTTCTATCAGAAAATACTATCGGGAGTCTATCAAGTTGATTAGTCTAGTCACTGCTGCATGAGGATCATGATTATTAAACATTCCACTCGACTATTCATGTCGGAAAATCACAATATTGAGGACCTTGTATAAACAATCAAAAAAATTCATAGCAACGAGATTTGCAACAATTCTTTTAACACAATTTAACGGACGAAGCTTTCGGCGACTGCTGGGAGTAAAAAGTTGCCTAAAACATCTCAAGATGCCTGAAAAAAAACATGATTTTGTTAACTTACCATTTTGAAAGTGACGTTTTTCTACGCGAAAGAACTGGGTGACAGAAAACAATTCCGAATATAAATTAATGACTTCAAGCCGCCAGAGAGCGCTACTGGAGCTTCTTCTTTTGGTCATTCCGAAGGTTGCTGCGATATTCGGCAACGTTGTGAAGTACATGTTTTGCTCTCGAATAATAAAAGCGATTTTTACATTTAATTAATAGAAAATTACTGTTTTTAGTTGTTGGTAAGTCTCTAATACGACGGATAAAGAGTAAGTTCAACTATTGAGCATTTTATGTCCTATTTTTATTTATATATACGGGACCTTAAAGATTCAGAAAGAAAAAATCATTATATTTATTAACGGTTATAAAGCTTTGTGAAAATATTTTGGTTTTTATTTTGCTAAAGCCTAGTCAGAAGCTATTTCGAATCAAAAATTTGCAGCAAGTTTTTTTTCCCCAAAGCAATAACTTTATTTAATTATTTCTTTAAGTAAGTAGCTTAAAATAATATTTTTTGCATCTGCTTCTATTCTGAGAATAAAATTTTACAACAAATTATTTTGTGGTAAACTAAATAAATCAAAGTATTTAAGTTCATTACATATGATCAACAATGGACATTTCTGCCTATTAGAAAAATTGCCTTTTTTATTGAATATACAGAAATAGGAAGACAAATGAAACTGAATTGTTTCTGAAGTGTTAAAAAAGCAACCGCATGCTATATTTTATTTGCAATTTGCAAATAAAGAAACATTGTTTTTAGCTGTTTCCTTAGGCATCTGTCCCATGTATCCGTTTATACGATGATTAAAAAGTTTTTTCTTTTATTTCATACTTCTCCGACGACAAGTTCATCCTAAAAACATACTAATATGAAAAATATTCTTCCAACACGGTTAATAATATCGATAATAACGGACAATTCTTTTTCGTTCAAACGTATGMCAAACATGAAATGACCGAATAAAAAACAGAGAATTGACGAAAAATATTASTACAACTTGGCAACCGCACGGAGCCTAATCAGTATTTCGACGTTGGTGACACAATTGCGCTGACCCGYTGTAGCGCTGACATGYTKTCTTTATCTATGCATTGTATTGACRCAAGCCGTATGGGTTRTATGGGTATCATTGTTTCAACACAGGAAAATRCACATTGTGTTMTTTTGCGTATAACATAGTTTTTTCTCATTTGCGATTATTCCGTGCTGAAAAAAAGTAACATCGTGTTGGCGACGTTAGGCGCGAAGCCTAAAAAAKAATTTTAGTAGATAAGTATTGTGGGCATGAGCTACTTTTCGTTATTCAATTTTGATTATCGACATCAAAAATAAAGGTATATATGAATAATTGCAGACATAATTATACATTATATAGATAGATATATCTGTTTCAGTTGATTTTTGCTGACATGAGCCCAAGAAAAAGTCAGTTTTGGACTCACTTTTGGAAAGCGTCGGAGGGTAAGGTAAAATGTCTATTGTGGCGAACCATTATCAGTTAAAAATAGATCTACCTCTTCACTTATCAGGCATATAAATCAAAAACATCCTACTCAACCAATCAGTAGACAAACAGTAGCAGAAGCCCCAATTAAAGAAAATAATTGTTCAAGTTCCGATCAACAGTTACAACGTCGCTTGCCATTTAAGATGGCTCCGAAGAAAAGTCCATTGTGGGCTCACTTTTCGAAAGAGTCGGATGGCAAGGTACAATGTCTCTCTTGTGGACAAGAATTATCAGTTAAAAATAGATCTACATGCACACTTATCCGGCATATAAAGAATAAGCATCCTACTCATCCAATCAGTAGGCAAACAGTCACAGAAGTCCCAATTAAAAAAGATAATTGTTCAAGTTCGCATCAACAGTTACAACGTTGCTCGACATTTAAAATGGCCCCCAAAAAGAAGAAAAGTCAGCTTTGGACTCACTTTTCGAAATCGTCGGAGGGGAAGGTAAAATGTCTCTATTGTGGACAACAATTATCAATCAACAAAAATAAATCAACATCCTCACTTGTCCGGCATATAAAGCATAAGCATCCGACTCAACCAATCAGAAGACAAATAGTAACAGAAGCCCCAATTAAAGAAGATAATTGTTCAAGTTCTCATCACTTGTTGCATGCAGCAGAAGATTCTGCTCAATATCCATTATCATCAGGAGGAGGTAAATTGCAGGTCATCACCAGTTACAGTCAAGAACCTCTGTCAATTGGGAAACAAAAAGAAATTGATAAACAGTTAATGTTCATGATTGCAAAGGAATTTCATCCTTTCAGCATCGTCGAGGATAAAGAATTTAAACGCCTGCTTTATTTACTAAATCCTAATTACAAAGTTCCCACGAGGAAGATAGTTTCAAATTTGATGATTCCAGCACTTTACAATGAAGCACTTGAATTAGTTAAAAGTCGTTTAGATAGAGCATTTGCGGTATGTCTAACAACTGAGGGCTGGACTTCCCGCACAAATGACTGTTTTTACAGTGTTACCGCCCATTATATTGTAGAGGAAAGCAACAATACCTTCTTGTCTTCCGATTTGCTAGGATGTATATCTTACACGAAAAATCACACTGCTGAAAATATAGCAGACAAGCTTAGAGAAGTCATAGAGGAATGGAAATTGACTAATAAAATAGTTGCCGTTGTGTCAGATAATGAGGCAAATATGAAAGCAGCTGYTCGTATAGGCGGGTGGARTCACTGGGGTTGTTTTGCWCATTCTTTAAATTCGGTTGCTCAATCAGGTTTGAGTGAAATTAAAGAAGTTGTAGAAAAGATAAAAAATATAGTTGGTTATTTCAAAAGCAGTAGCCAGGCCCTTTCTCAACTACAAGCTTCTGCAGTAGGTATGGACATGCCTGAAATAAAATTAAAAAATGAAGTAGCAACACGCTGGAACTCTACCTACGACATGATATATAGAGTGTTACAGATGAAAAATGCCATTATCTTTACTTTATCTGTTTTAAAAACATTATCGCTTAGCAAGCAACACGATGATCTTGAATTGATTACTCAACTTCATGATGATGAATGGATTGTGGCAGAACAAGCGATAAAAGTACTGGAAATTTTCAATTTGGTGACACTCGCCATAAGCTCAGAGCAAAAACTTAATGCTTCTTCTATCATATTTTATTATAAGCAGATCAGTAAAGATTTAAATTATACTGATTTAAATGAAGTTATGCCCCAAGTTAGAAATATGGTAGAAAAACTTAAATTTGAACTGCAGAACCGCTTTTCAGATATACAAGAAAACAATTTAATAGCTCAAGCAACTATTTTGGACCCCAGATTTAAAAAATTAGGGTTTATAGACGAGGAAGGGTACAAACGCGCTGTAGAAAACTTATATACAGAGGTAGCTAACACTACACTGGCTGATGAGAATGTAGAAAATAAAAGATGTGATAGTTTTATTAAAAGCGAACCAATAGACCAAAATATTACACTTGAAAAAATCTTTATTGATGTTTTATGGAATGACTTTGATGCGGAAGTTCGACAACACTTAAAGCCGAGCAATTCCACAATATCTGCCATTGAAGAAGTTAATAAATATTTAGAGGAAAGTATTTTACTTAGAAAGGATTCCTCAGGAGTATGTCAAGATCCTTTTGTCTGGTGGCATCAAAGGAAGCACATATACCCAAAACTATACCAAATTATGAAAACGCGACTATGTATAATGGGTACATCTGTCCCGAGCGAGAGAATATTTTCTAAAGCAGGGCAGATAGTTAGTGCAAAACGGGAGATATTGAAAACCGATAAAACATCTCAACTAGTTTTTTTAAGCTATAATTTAAATAATTGTAATTAGTCTGTTTATCAAAAACAACTTACTTTAAGTTTTTTACAAGCAACTTTTATTTTTATTTCAGAATTTGCTGCTGGTTTTTACTATTTTGTAATAGTAATAGTTGTTTGTTAATTTTTTCTTTTCTTTAATATACTTATTTGGAACTCTGTTTTATGTAGAATAAATGTAAATAATTAAAATATATTGAATTTTAAAGGCATTTGTTTATGGAGGTGGAATCTGAGGAACGAAAAAAGGTAGGTAGACAAAATTCGTAGGAACTGTTTCTGTGATAAGTAGGAGAAACCAAATTTATGTATCAGCTGAACTACCCCCACCAACGCTCTAGCCTCTGGGCTCTATCCGCCCAAACTCTAGTATTTCGTTCGTGAAAATAAGGCCCCTGTTCAGGTTTACACTGAACTATCCACAAGCTGTATATCTAATATATAACAACTATAGGGTGAAAGAGGAGCTTTGAATAAAGCAGCTTTTGTTGAATAATAAAATTGAGAATTATTTAGGTAATTACTAATTAGTTTTTATTTAATTATTTGAATTTTTTTGGAACGAGAATATCACAAATGGAGCGAAATTTAATTTTGAAGACGCACAAGTAGTGTTGAGTTTAAAAAATAGCTTTAATCCCAAGTATAAAAAAATATAAATAGTGCAAAACTGCGAGAAAAGTTTTAAAGTAAATATTGACTTTTCCAAAGATACCTGTGTACCTGGAAAAAAATGAATAGCTTTTAAGAAAAACAAGTAAAAACGTTTT